GTGTTCGGCATCTTGTGCATACTTCCTTGCGTACAGATGACGGCTGCGTATGACTTAGTTTATGCTCTGGTGCTTTCACTTCCAGCAGTTATAAGCACTGTGTAATTGCCTCGAGGATGCTTTACCATTTTAACACAACGTGGTGCGATTACCTCCCTTGCGCGGAGTAAGGGTTCTCGACCCCGCACGACATGATCTACTCGACCACCAATCATGGTTGCCGCAAAAATAAAACCGGCAACCTAGTTGCCGAGTTCACGACGTGATTTGGCTTGTTTTAGACGTCGTCGCCAAGCGACGAAACCCTATCCCGATGGCAAACATCGTGGGGGGGTTGTTTTCCAACGTCGTTGCCAAGCGACGAGAACCCAACCTCGATGGAAAACACCGGGGGGGCAACCCCAAGGGCACGGTTGGGGGGAAGGGGGGACACATCTTCTGTCATGTTAAAGCATGGAAGATTGCACCTCACTCTCATATACTTGAATCGGATAGAACGCGCCAGAGTGTACACACATGCGTGTAGGTTCTTGGTTTGTTTGTTTGACGTCAGAATGAGGTCGATATTGTTTTGCTGGTGGTTTAACTTCCTGGAAAATACAGTAGTGAACACGCCGTGGTTGTCGTTGCTGCGTGACTGTTGTGTCGGACTGACTGGCCTTCAGATCAACATTCGATGGCCGATAAAGACCGACGTCTACAAGCACCCACGGTTGACGAAGATGGAGTTAGAGCACCTGCACGCCGTCGGCAATGAGGCTGCGGATGTTCAACAAGCACAGAAGGGACCATTGATGACCCAAACAAGGCCACCGCAGCGAAGCTCACTAGACTAGTACGTCGTCTAGCCTCGCTTGCTGGTGCTGTACGTAAATGTCGTTGCCCGCCTTCACCCCCGGACGTCGGGGACAAACGTTTGTGTTGTATTGCTTGGACGCTTGAAGCAAGAGACGCGTTCATAGGTTGACCTTGTGTACTGATTGTGGGTGTGTTAGAAACGCCCCGCGAAGTTGAGCGATGGGTACTCTACTTTGCTTTAGTATGCTTTCCCACGGGACGCAACGTGCAAAAGTTCGGAAAGTTTGGTGTGTAGCCCAATAAGTGTGCTGTCCGTGTTCGTCGGGCAGTGTTAGCCCAACAAGGGTGTCGTCCACGCTGCGTTCGTGCGTTTGTTATCCGTTCAAGTGCTGGATTGAAACGGGCTGCGGAAGTGGTCGTTACAGAGGCTNGTTTGGTGTATAGCCCAATGAGTGTGCTGTCCGTATTCGTCGGGCAGTGTTAGCCCAACAAGGGTGTCGTCCACGCTACGTTCGTGCGTTTGTTATCTGTTCAAGTGCTGGATTGAAACGGGCTGCGGAAGTGGTCGTTACAGAGGCTNGATAGGTTGACCTTATGTACTGATTGTGGGTGTGTTAGAAACGCCCCCCGAAGTTGAGCGATGGGTACTCTACTTTGCTTTAGTATGCTTTCCCACGGGACGCAACGTGCAAAAGTTCGGAAAGTTTGGTGTGTAGCCCAATAAGTGTGCTGTCCGTGTTCGTCGGGCAGTGTTAGCCCAACAAGGGTGTCGTCCACGCTGCGTTCGTGCGTTTGTTATCCGTTCAAGTGCTGGATTGAAACGGGCTGCGGAAGTGGTCGTTACAGAGGCTCTGCATGACCGAAAAGTGTACCCCGAACTATGCAGAACGAAGTCATCCGACATCGTGAGGACGCACACCCGTTTGACGCCCAAGAATAAATGCAGAAGGTCCGGATCGTTTTATCTCTAGTCCTGTGGTTATGAACACTTGCTTGTCGGTCGAGGCGCCGTGTTGTAAGCGATTTTTAGAATAAGCCCTCCTCCATCGCCGATCAAACACGGCATGTCATGACCTCCCCTCGCCTGCCTCCATACTTATCGAGGTTCAGGCATGCACGAAGAACGGAGGAGTGTACAAGATCGAGCTTTACGAGATCGGACGTCTTTCCATCCTGCAGAATGTCGTTGCAGGACAATCCTGCACATAGGGTCTCCCGAGACAAACACCAGAATCAGACAGAATCTTCCGAGCGAGATGCTCCGACAACGATCACATAGAAATATGTTTGGTGGAGAGATGGAGCGATGCCGTGAAAGACGTTGTATGTTGTACCAGCAAGCGCAGCGACACTATACCGAGCAAGGGTAATAAGGAACTCAGGCACATCATATTTATGCTTTTACAAGCCCTCGCTCTTGACACTTGTAAAGGGACAACAGTAGCAATAGAAGCAGAAGACGCGCTACGTAACGGGTGTCGAGTTTGAGCTTTGACGGAAAAGGTCTCCCCGACGACAAATCTCAACACTGCTTTCGAAACGTAGACGACGTAGCCACTGCTCGTTCACTTCGGGGAGGTCGCTAAATCAGCTCCGTTATGTAGAGCTGCTTGTGGTTCATCTGCGAGATCCCCTATTCTATAGCAAGCACAGCACTCTAGACGTAAAGTGTAGCAGCAGCAGTGGAGGGAGAATGCGTGCTGGATGTTGCCTGCTGCGAGATGGGGACTTGGAATGATGGCAATTCTAGAAAAAAACAGGACCCTCGACAGCAAGTCAACCTGCTCCCACGATGTCAAGAACGCCGAAACTGTTCTCGCTCCACAGTAAGCGATAGCCGCTCAAACAACACGAAGAGTTGTTGAAATCATCTCAGCTACATGCAACTGCTGGTGGCTCTCCGAGGTTCGAAGGGTGGGCTGACAAAATCTTTTCAGACACCATCGGCCAGGGGCCGCCTACGAAAATGTTTTTAAAATATATATTTTTTAAGATAAGTGGCCCGGTAGGGACCCTTTTTGTTTCAAAAGGAAAGCTGTTCAGAGGGGGGGGGGAAACGGGCTCAAGGAAGTCTGTCTGTCTGGCTGTCTGTGACCGGCCTCGATATATTACCCAGCAGATTCCAACCCATTTCACCATCTCGGCACCAAATTGCAATCTAAGACGAGTTCACAACAAGTGATATTTTGCCCGAGTTGCCCCAACTGCTACCTTTTCGATCCGTGCTCGGTGCGTCGAGATAGTGCAGCGTCGGTACCCAACTTGAAGCAGGGAAGTTTCTGGCCCCTTGCAACACCGAGAGGAGGCGTCGTATGATTTTGAACCAAGACAGATGGCCAATCACACCACACACCATACACACAGAGCCAGACGT